ACATTCTCCTACGACAAGCTGTCCTTTTCTTCTTGATTTTTCAGTTATGTCATATTCTTCCTATTCAGATTCAGAATCAGAACCTGCTTCTTCATCAATGACACCCAGATACACAACAAAGTTTTCATCTTTTGACTCAGAATCCATGGTGAGTAGAGCTTTTTTCTTGCTCCCTCCAACACAGTCAAACTTGGTGTGTTCAGATCTATTGCACTCAGTACATTTTAGTGATTCTCTCATTTTGATCGTTTGACAGTCAGCCTTGATATGCCTAAATCCATCACATTCATGACATTGAATATATGTCTTACAAGCGCCTTTTTCGAACCTCTGATCCCCTTTTGTCTTATTGAAATTTGGTGAGAACCACTTCTAACGTTTCTCAAACCTTGTGAAGTACTTTTTCACAATCAAAGCCACCTTGTCTTCCAAACTATCCAGTTAATCCTTAGCACTTGCCACAAAGGCTATTCCTTTTCCTCTTGTTGTTGACTTGGAATTCCTACCCAGCTTATAGGCTTGCATCATACCCACGACATCATTAAACTTCATGTTGTCTGAGTTCTGTAACACTTTCAGAGCTGACCTATGTCCATGAAACGTTTCTGGAAGACACTTTAGGAATTTTTTCACCAGCTTCTTGTCTGTGTAATTTTTTCCTAGGGTGATTGCTTCCACTGAAGGATTCAACAGACACGTCCACTCCCATGGTAAGCACCTCGAACTGATTGGCAAGCATATCGATCTGGCTTCTTTTTACACTGCTAGTACCTTAATAAGAGGTTTGTAGTGCATCCCAAGCTTCTTTTGCAGTTGTACATCCTTGAACCATCTGGAACTGGTCTCTCGTGAGTGACGTCCACATCATTGACAGAGCTTTGGCATCAAATTTAGACATACTTTTTTCTTCAGCTGTCCACTCTCTTTTAAGTTTGGGATGAACAGTTATGTCCGCATCAAGAACAAAGGGAGCAGTCCATCCTTCTTCCACCATTGTCCAATCATCCTCAATCATTCGTTTGACGAGGGCTTTAATCTGAGCTTTCCACCATCCAAAGTTCTCTAGTTCCAACAGCCGTGTTTTCATTGACCCGAACTGTTGCATGTTTTCCATACTCTTCCCAAAACTCACCTGATTTTTAAAAGAGAAAAAATAATCTTTTACGAGAGGTCTGCTCTAATCCCAAATGCTAGTGTAGAAAAACAGACGATAATTGATTTCTTTGTCTTGGACAGCACCAAGATGAATGTTTTCTATTAGAATATAAATATATCAAAGTTAACCAATTAAAAGTTACAAAGATAAAAAAGCACAGATCTCGCTACACGTCAACATGTCTTACACAAAGAACACTCACCTCACAGCTCTCACCACACACAGATTTGCTTTGATGCAGTCTCTAATTTGAATATCGAAAGTGTTAACCCTAACTCTTTCTACCCAAGATCCCTTAAATACAGGAAATCCCTCAACCCTAGACTCGCATATCTTCTTGTTTGCTTGTCACGTTCGTGCTTCCTTAATCACTCATTTGTATATATGCTAATATATGAAGGATCCACTTCAATTAATTTTGCCACATCAGCCCCCTCTTAGTCCATGATGCTTTCTATGTACCTCACTCGTCACTGGTCTGCCTCGTGTCAGCTCTCGGTAATCGGTCGGCTTAACTGCATCTTCAGTTGCAGCCATGGGTAGCTCACCTCAGCATCTATCTTAGTACCATCTTTGTCATTAAAATTTATGCGCTAAAGCAAAAGCTTGTGCAAATAGACATACTAATACTCGCACAAGATCAAGCCTTGTACACCTCTTGGTGTTGGGGAGGATCTTCACAATTTTTGTTGTTGTATTTGCTAGAAATTTAAACCCGTATATGAATCAAGATTGCTTGGTGTTACACAACTTTAGTCACCTAGATTGACCCCAACCGATTCTAAGTTACAAAGATAAACAAGCATATATCTCACTATACGTGAACTTGTCTTACACAAAGAACACTCAACTCACAGCTCTCACCACACATGGTTTTGCTTTGATGCAGTCTCTAATTTGAATATCGAATGTGTTAGCCCTAACTCTTTCTAACCGAGATTCCTTAAATGCAGGAATGCCCCCAACCCTGTACTCACATATCTTCTTGCTTGCTTGTCGCGTCCGTGCTTTCCTTAATCACTCCTTCGTATAGATGTTAATATACGAAGGATCCACTTCAATTAATCTTGTCACAACAGCTCCTTCTTAGTCCCTGGTGGTTTCCATGTAACTCACTCGTCACTGGTCTGCCTCGTGTCAGCTCTCAGTAATCGCTCGGCTTAGCTGCATCTTTAGTTGCAGCCATGGATAGCTCACCTTAATATCTATCTTAGTACCATCTTTGTCACAAAAATCTATGCGCTAAACCAAAGGCTTGTACAAATAGACCTCTACTAATACTCACACAAGATCCGAGCCTTGTACACCTCTCGGTGTTGGGGAGGATTTTCATTATTTTTTTGGTTGTATTTTCTAGAAATTTTAAACCAATATGTGAATAGAGATTACTGGGGATTGATTCTAGATTTACCTATAAGGATCTTGCAGTAGTGCCTGGCGGCAACTCATTCACCACCAAAAGAACATTGGAGATGTGCCATTAGCTTTGTCTCACAAGTTTGAATCGAAGTTGAGCCTTTTTTATTCATAAAAAAATGTGTGTTTTGCAATGAATTGGACATTGATATTGGATGCAGTTTCTTGACTTGTCCGAATTTGATTAATTGTGGTGCGAATCATGCCAACATGCAGAACATCATCTACAGCAAAAAAAGATTCTGAAGATATGGATTTTAACACCAGGAATATCTCGACACGAATACAAACTTGAGTAACACCATTCAGTACTTGAAAGTCAGGCTAAACAGATATATGAGGCTAGAGCTAAGGGTTTTTCCGATCCTGATGACCAACCGTAGCTCTCTAGAGGCTGGCTCTGGTTAGAAATTTAGTAATTGAGGATGGGTGAAGACTCTTGCAGAGGCATGAGCCCATAATACCGGTGAGGCATTTTTTTATGGTGGCTGTTAGAGTTCTTTGGCTCTTCTCTTGAGTGTTGATTTTTCTATTTTAACAAGTTCTATATGCATGTGTATTATTTTTCTTGAATTTTATTGGTTGTGGTAGTTGTGATAATGATAACATCAAATTGTTCAATCAGATTTTTGGTTAAGTAGTTTCTCAATACAAGATTAAACTTGTCTTTTTTGGTTTTTGGATGTAGACTGGTTATAATGGAGGTGTTTTAAAAAGACTACAAAAAGTCCTTAAACAAAAATTTGTGTATTTAAAGATTAGTTCTCCGCATAGACTAAAGTGTATCCAAATTATTTATCATAAACGCACTTATAGCGAATTTAGGAAACGACAAATCTGGGTAGCATTTCCAGATCCTACATGAGTTTCAGCTTTCTTTCATTGGATGCCTTAGAATGAACCTCCATTATCTCAAGACATAAGCATTTTCCTTAATACAAACTCTTTGAGAGAACCATCGTATTCAGTTATCTTTAGGATCTCCAAATTAAAGGACATGACAATATGAACCAATACTCTGGCACACAAGGGAAAACAATGCATCCTCTACCTTGCAAAGACTGAAATAATAAGAGTGGAAGGATTTGAGATTTATTTGTATGAGTATAATTCATATCCAAAAACTAGCTCAATAATGAGGATTGACACACACTTATATATTATCCAAAAATCTCACAAAGTCTCCATGTAAAACAACTCTAACAAGATTCAAGATTTATGAATATATATCCAATGAACTTTTGGGGTTTGAGTCATACGTCGATTGTGAGACTCTTTAGATTTGGAGATTTCTTGATCAGTCATGGCAGATTATACCAACAAAAGTTAAAAAGGTTTAGACAAAAATGAAATAGCTTTTCGAACACTGGGAGTGCTTTACGGATGAGATAAAACATGTGAAACATGAGAAGAAAAATCAAATATTCATCATAAAAATAATCTCAGTATATGGGGTCAAAGCCGCAAGAAACAAAAGAAATATCTAGCACGATTTTGATTCTTATACCTCCTATAGATAAAAATATTATATATGGATTAAGAGTGTATTAGTCATTAGTCTTTATCTAATCATTACTACGTGTATTACTAAATATAATGTACACTCATTCAATAATATTAAGACATTCACACGGTATCAGAGTCTCGATAACAAAAAAAACTCTTTTTTCAAAATTTCTCTTTAGTCGCTATGGCAATCCCAAAAGCAGTTGCTGACACAATTCCAACACAACCTCAAACATTTTTTAATATCAACACATATAATGTCACAAAACTTAACTCCACAAATTATCTCATTTGGAGCTTTCAGATTCATGTCCTCCTTGATGGTTATGATCTCGCTGGTCACTTAGACGGATCTATTGTGCCTCCACCTCCAACAATAACTCTTGGTGCTAATGTCTCCGTCAATCCGGAATTTTCTGTTTGGAAGCGTCAAGACAAACTCATTTATAGTGCCTTTTTAGATGCCATCTCCACTTAGATCCAACCGCTTCACTACAAGAAAATAGGCTTGTTGCGACTATAAAAACAGTTGCTAAGCAGTCGGAAAAACAAGACTTCCGACTAATTTGTAACTAAAATAAGTAGTATCCAATATTTCATCGTAAATTCCAATAATCACTAAGTTGTCGTTAAATTGCTAAATTACGACTACTTATATGTCGAGTGAAAACAGTCGCAACTTAGTCGCAAAATATAGCGACTAAATTGTGACTATTTGGCGACCAAATTGCAACTGAGTATACTTATTTTGAAGTCGTAAAATGTGTAGGTTCTAATTAGTCGCTAAATATTGCAACTGCTTTTCTACTCTTTAGTGACTAAATAACGATTGTTTTGCGACTGCTTTTGCTACCAATTTGCGACTAATAACTTAAAGAAAAAATAATTTGGTAAAAGCATTTTGGTGATTTTTGGTTTTGGTATTTTGTTTGTAATAATAAATTTTGAATCTAAAAAAAGGCTTATAAGACATAAATTACTAATAAAGTATATAATGCACATAAAAGTAGTGAATTTCAAATCACTAATTGTCTTACAAGAAACCATCTAAACAACAAAAAACAATACAAATATTATATTTGAGTTTGAAATGATAGAAACCTAAGAAGAAGAGTGAGTTGGACCCGATAGGGCAGCACAGAAGTCAAGGTATCCCGGGTCAGTTTTTTGAAGATATTGCTCCATCAAGCTCAAGTCGTGCTGCTCAACCGCTTATCGCACTAGCTCAGTTTCAAGCCACGCGTTATAAGCGTCTTGTGCTTCTATTTGGCATTGAGCTTCTTTGAGTTGTTGTTGGAGCACGTGAGAAGACGACGAAGAGCTACCCAGGTACTTGAGCTTGCCGCCAACGTGAGACTCTCCGAGACTTCCAATACCATTAGCAAGGCCTCTTTCATCCACGATAGTTGTGGAAGTCAGACAGTTAGCAAAGGTGTAAAGAATGAAAAAGCAAATGCTTAATGAAAGATCAGATGCATAGTTACCTGAAGAAAGAGGTCGTTGTCCTTGTTTGTGGTTAGCTCTCGAGGTCACGAAGTCCCATCTGAAGTTTCTGCCTCGAACTCGAACAGCTTCGCTTGCAGGTTCTTCTCATACGTCTATGCGATCTTCTGCGCCTTCCTATCAACAAAAGTCACATATGGTCTTGTGGGTCTTTAGAAAAACTTCACCAATACTAACTCCTCTTCATGAAAGTGTAACAAAAAGAAACATTTAATGACAAAAGTGATAAACTTATAGAAGCAGTAGATAGAAGAATGTAAATTACCATTTCTTGGTGAATTTGTTGAAAAGACTTTTGCCTAGTGAAGTTCTTGTGAGGACCAAGTCCGCCACGGACAGAATTCCGAGCATCAGATGTGGTATGACTCCTCGGTATAGCTTCATCAATGTCCCAGTAGGTGCACATTTCAGTCCAAATAGTCTCGCTGATCCAGGTATGTTGCACATGAAGAACATGAGCTTTGCTGACCATATTCTTCATCCTCCTCTGACAAATCACCACAAAATGTGTTTGTACCGTCCATGTTATTAAGGGATCATAGGTGTACTCTTTCTACAATACAAGAAGCGATGATCATGTTAGTAAAAGGAAGAGGAAAAAGAAAAGGGCACATAAACGTAGCAGAGAAGAAATAGTTACCGCAAATTCCATGAAGTATTACTCCGCTCACGACTGAGGCACACAACTCTAATTTTAGTATGCATCATCAAATTTGTTTGTGAAGATCTTTGTAATCTTCTGGACCAAACCCGACTTGGGATGACCAAACCTACACACACAGAATAAGTTATGGAACTAACAAGCAGAATCAGATTATAAAAAAAAAAGCTTCAAACTATAAAACTTAGGAAAAAGAAAAAGCTTTGAACAATACAATTTAAGTTAAAATTGACCATTTGACACAATTTACACCTTTTCTAAAAATTTAAACATTTAGGAACCTTTCCATTTGGTATATGGTGGCTGAGGTTTTAGTGGAGAGAGGACAGTTATCTACTGATGACGGTTTGGTGTCCTTAGCAGAGTCTCAAGATAGCAAAGATTTTCTTTCTGGAGATTGGGTTGAATCTGTGCATTGTCGTCAATCCACTTATCCCTGAGCTTCAGACACCAGATTACTTTGTATTTCGGAGTTGTGCAGTGGAGGATTCGAAGAGATTGTTGTTGGAGACATTTCAGGCGTTGGAAGCATCTGATTGGAAGATCTTCGCCGTTGAAGCATCTGAGGTTGAGGGTTTTGAGAGGTTTGTGATTGAGACATCAGACCTGCAAACATGATCAAAAATATTGAAGTCAGTCACAACCGCAAACCTCAAAATCCATAGAAACACTAAAAATGAAGAACTCGGATATAATTAAGCAAAAGTTATAGAGCATAAAGTGAAAATCTCAGCTTTTTGCAAGCATTTAGCAAAAATAAAACTGTTGTGGTAGCTCCTACGGCGTAATCGGTGTAGATGTGGAAGGGTTCGATAGAGTTCCTCCAACGAGAGATCCCTCAACCTCCTACGCTTCCTCCAGCCATCAGACCTCTTACTTTCTTCCCTCTTCCACCAGCCATGGGAGACATATCGATTTAGGGTTTCTGGATTGAGGGTTTCGCGTTTGAGAGGATAAGAAATCGAGTGAGAAAGAGAAATAAAGGAAGATTGATTTAGGATTTCTGGATTGAGAGGGTTTCGCGTTTTAGAGGAAGGAAAATCGAGTGAGAAAAATAAATGAAGCAAAAACAATGGAGAGAGAAATAGATTTTTGGTGTTGTCCAAAAAAAATTGGATTTTAATTTTGAACTTAATTTTTAGATTATTAATGATTAGTTTAATTTAGATTGTTAATTAGTAGTTTAATTTTTAGATTGTTAATTATTAGTTTAAATTATATTGTTAATTTTTAGATTGTTAATTATTAGTTTAATTTATATTGTTAATTTTTAGATTATGAATTATTAGTTTAATTTATATTGTTAATTTTTAGATTTTTAATTATTAGTTTGTTAATTATTAGTTTAATTTAAATTGTTAATTACTAGTTTAATTTAGATTTTTGAGTATTATGTAAATCATAATAATTAACATAATTATGTTTAATCATGATAAATAGAAAAATATACAGAAAATCAAGAATTTTACATAATCAACATAATGATTTATGTATATTACATCGATTCTCTATGATTTTCATCGTCATCATCAGAAGATGATAAACTACACTCAAATTCATCTTCTGCTTCAGCATCTCCGACATCAAGTGCTTGCTGGCTTATTAGACTGTCCACAGCTTGGTTATACATTTCCTGAAATTTCTGTGTACCGGTTCTTGTCTTTGGTGAAAACCTCATGGTGGAAATTGTCTCTATAGGGTTGATGTCCGCATCTCTCCCTCCCTAAGTGAGAGGGTTCTGGCCTCAGAACTATTTCTTCAGCATCAAAAGGAGCTAGGCCAGTGATATTAAACTCACCTGGCAGCTCAAGCTTGTATGCATTGTTGTTGATACGCTCTAGCACCCTCAATGGTCCGTCTCCCCTTGGTGAAAGTTTGGACTTCTTGTGGTTAGGAAAACGTTCTGTCTTCATATGTAAATATACCCAATCTTCTGGTTTGGATATGACTTCTTTCCTCCTTTTTTCTGCTAGCTTCTTATACTGAAGTTTTTTCTTCTCAACATTTTTTATTTGAGATGCAGCTTCTTGACAAATTCAGCTAACCTTTCTCCATCCTGGCTGGCATGTTCTTGTTGTGGTAGTGGTGACAGATCCAGTGGAGTAAGAGGTTAAAAACCATACACATACTCAAAAGAAAAAAACTTAGTATCAGAGTTTGGGACATGGTTATAAGCAAACTCAAAAGGCAAACAATGAAGACAATTTTTCAAGTTGTTACCAATGGTTTCCCTCAAAAGGGTGGATAAGGTGCGGTTTACAACCTCAGTTCGCCATTTTTTTGAGGATGGCATGTAGTGGAGAAGAGTAGCTTCGTACATAGCTTTCTCCAAAGTGTTTTCCAGAAGTGGCTAAGGAATTTGATGTCTCTATCTGATACAATGGTCTGTGGTATACCATGTTAACGTACCACCTCCTTGAAAAACAAGTCAGCCATCTGTGTTGCTTATTGGTCTTTGCACAAGGTATGAAGTGTGTCATCTTGTAGAATCGGTCAACCACCACAAAGATGGAGTCCTTGTTCCTTATCTTTGGCAAACCTAGTACAAAATCCATAGGAACATCTACCCAAGGCATGTTAGGAATAGGCAATAGAATGTAAAGACCATGAGGATGTGACATTGATTTGGCATTGAGGCAGGTGGTGCATTTGGAGCATAATCGCTCTACACCTCTTTTGAGAAGAGGCCAGAAAAAAATGCTCCACTATGATGCTTAGCATCTTGTCTACACCAAAGTGTCCCATTAAACCACCTCCATGTGATTCTCTTAACAGTAAATCTCGCATGGAACCTTGTGGAATACACAATCTCTTTTCTTTGAACAAGAAACCTTCTTGTTGATAAAATGGGCCTGCAGCTCATTTGTTGCATTCTTTGTATGTATCTGCAAAATCAGGATTTGTTTCATATTGCAATTTAATATGTTCAAAACCCATTACCTTAGCCTCCATAGTGGTGATGAGAGCATAGCGCCTGGAAAGGACTCCAGCCACAATATTTTATTTTCCCTTCTTGTATTTGATAATGTAAGGGAAGGTTTCTAAAAACTCTAACCATTTGGCATGCCTCTTGTTAAGTGTAGTATGTCCTCTTAAGTGTTTAAGATTCTTATGGTCTGTATGAATGACAAAGTCTTTAGATAATAAATAGTGTTGCCAAGTTTCTAGAGACCTTACCAAAGCATAAAGCTTCTTGCCATAAGTAGGGTCTCCTTGTCATAAGTAGGGTAATTTAAAGCTGCTCCATTGAATTTTTCACTGAAGAATGCCAATGGTCATCCTCCTTGAGTCAGGGCAGCTCCTATAAAAGTTCATGAAGCATCACATTCAATCTCAAAAGTTTGATCAAAATTTGGCAATACCAATATTGGTGCATGGATAAGGTTGTATTTGAGCTTGTTGAATGCTTCTTCTTGTGCTTCTCCCCATTTGAAAGCAATATTCTTCTTGAGTACTAAGGTGAGTGGGGCTGAAATTGTGAATATTTGACAAACCTTCTGTAAAAACTCGCCAGCCCATGAAAACTTCTTATGTTTCCAATAGTTGATGGAGTTGGCCACTCTTGTATAGCTTTTATTTTCTCTTCATCAACTTCTAAACCCTGAGAACTTACAACAAATCCTAAAAACACAACTTGATCAGTGTAGAAAGTATATTTTTTAAGATTAGCATAAAGATTCTCCAGCCTTAGTGTTTCAAGAACATGTTCTAGATGTTTAAGATGATCTTCTAAGAAGGTGCTATAAATCAGTATGTCATCTAAATAGAAAACTATAAACTTACAGATATATTCCCTTAAGACATGGTTCATGAGTCTCATGAATGTGCTGGGGGCGTTTGTGAGACCAAATGGCATAACAAGCCATTCATACAGATCTCTCTTGGTTTTGAAAGCAGTCTTCCATTCATCACTTTATTTCATCCTCACTTTATGATAGCCACATATTAAATGGAGCTTGTAGAAGATAGTTGCCCCATTGAGTTTATCTAGCATGTCATCAAGTCGGAGAATGAGATGTCTGTACTTGATGGTTATGTTGTTTACAGCTCTGGAATCTACACACATCCTCCATGAGCCATCTTTCTTCAGCACTAGAAGGACAGGAACTGCACAAGGGCTTAAGCTTTCTCTGATGTATCCTTTTGACATGAGCTCTTGAACTTGTTTTTCTAACTCTTCGGCATCCTCTGAATTTACTCTATAGGATTCTCGGTTTGGTAGAGGTGCTCCTGGTAATAGATCGATTTGATGCTCTATACCCCTTACTGGTGGTAATCCTGGTGGAATCTCCTCTGGAAAAACATCTACAAATCGTTTAAGTAACTCAAGTACTTCTGATGGTGGTTTCTTTTCATCTTGTCTTGAGAACAATCCTTCTTTGAAAACCATTGTTAGCACCTTTTCTTGTAAAATAAAAGATTTAAACACATAATTAGGTGAAACATAGAGATTAGTTTTACTCACCTCAGAGCTCTTACATAGCTCTTTGCATTTCATGTACCTCTTGTGGGGTGAGAGGGACTAGATTATGCTTGCGATTGTTGTGAAAAAAAACCATAGTAATTAGTCCTCCCATTGTGTATGGCCTCTTTGTCAAATTTCGAAGGTCTTCCTAGAAACAAGTGGCCTGCTTGCATTGGTACTACATCACATACTACTTGATCTGCATACTTGCCAATGGTGAATGTCATGGTGACTTGCTCAACATTCTTGAGCTCAGTTTCATCATGCCATCTCAGCTAGTAGGGATGAGGATGTTTCGTCCTTTGTAATCCTAGCTTTTCAACCAAAAGTACTTACTAGCTACAATAGTACATGACCCTCCATCAATAATTAAACTACATACCTTGGAGTTAATTGTACATCTGGGGTGGAAAATGTTTTCTTTTTGCAATGTTTCTGAGTGAAAAAGCGTACTGAGGGCTCTCCTTACTACAAGTAACTCGCCAGTTTTAAGATAGTTGACTACATCATCTTCTGAATTCTCTGGCTCCATTTCTGCTTCATATTGAGATTAATATTCTCCATTGGTTGTAAGGATCATAACTCTCTGGTTTGGTAGTCTCTTGTATAATGTCTTTAACCGTGACAAACAAGTAATGTCACGAGCTCTAGTGTTTTGTTGACTACAAAACTTACCTTGCTCGGGTTTGGATCCTTTAGACGTTTCTGGTGCTGGTCTCTTGAACCGTGAGTCTACTTCTATGGACTCTCCTTTGTCCACGTTTCTCTGGGCTTGTGGAGTATAAGTACTCTTGCTTCGGTTTGTCGAGGCCATCTACTCTTGATATGTTGTTCAGCTTGGATCACCAAGTGTAGAAGCTCTTCCATGTCGTGGTATACTTGCCTTTCCACCTTCCGGGCAATCCTGTCTTGAAGTCCATCCATGAACTGAGCCATCAAGGTTTCTGGTGGATCTTCAATCCAGCTAGTTCTTGAGGATCTCAAACTCATCATATTATTCTTAAACAGACGTGTTCCTTTGAGAGAGCTTGCGGAATCTGCTTTACAAATCTCGGTGATAATAGGCTGGTACATACCTCTTCCTTAGACTAAACCGCATGTTTGCCCAGTTGTTGATTTCACCATAGCTATGCCTTCTTCTTTCTGAAACATCTCTGTTCCACCAAGACAATGCATTTTCAGTTACTTGAGCAGCAGCTAATAATACTTTCCTTACCTCAGAGTATTGGTAGTGCTCAAAGATGTTCTCCATCCGCCTCTCCCAATCAAGGTATGCATCGGAATTGATCTTCCCAGCAAATGTAGGTGGGTGAGCTTGATGTATGTGCCTCTGTCTCTAGCATATTCATCAATTCTGCCTCCTTGACGTCGTCCTCCATGTTTAGGGTAGCCATCAGGCCCAGGTGACGGGTGATCATCTAGTCCTGACATATCAT